CACACCTACACCCACACCCACACCCACACACCTACACCCCCACCCACACCCACACACCTACACCCACACCCACACCCACACACCTACACCCACACCCACACCCACACACCTACACCCACACCCACACCCACACCCACACACCTACACCCACACCCACACCCACACACCTACACCCACACCCACACCCACACACACCACACACCCACCCACATCCCACAACCACACCCACACCCACACCCACACCCACACACCTACACCCACATCCACACCCTAGAAATATTGAAGATGCTCTTGAAAACATAATCTATCAATTCAAGATAAAAGGAGAATCATCTCCTAATAGACTTATTTTTTGTCAATTAATTTGACTGCTACATTAGAAGGATCTAAAAATCATAACCAATGAGTAAAATGCGTATACATAATAGTTTGAATTCAGTTTCATTAAGTTTTGTTTTATTCGCTCTATTTTGTTCTAAATGTCGTCATGAGCAACACACCTAAAATAACCTTCTCAGAAAATAACAAAGGGTGTCGGGTGTGAGTGTGAGTGGGGATTGGTGGAGGTGTCGGTGGGTCTAGGTGTGGGTATTGCTCTTTCCTTTATTCACATCTACACCCACCCTTGACACATTACCCACAACTGATAAGAATTGGTTCATCATCAACCGAGCAGCAAATAGCACAATCGATTTCTTTTTCAATATAGAGCGCGAGAAAGAATCAATGTTTATCTTTAAGCAATAGAATATCGATTTTCAAACTTCGATTATAAATAGGATCGTTGTTCTAGCATGAAGTTCTCTGTGTGTAGTGAGAGCCAACGTGTCTAATCTAGGGGATGAATTTTTTTGTGAACTTGTAAAAAGACAAAGAAGCTGAGTCTTCAGAGAGAACTCGTTTATTAATAAAAGCCAGTCAAACATTGATGTGACACAAACAATCTTGAATCACTTTTGACAATTCAACTATTTCGTTTGAATAAACTCAATGTTATTTTCCCTCGATTTAGCTTGCAATCAATGTATATTGTGATCTTTTTATATTTTCTTTTTCTTATCATACAATGAAACAAGCCTTGAAATACATAAGTTTGTGAATAATTGACATTCTCTGTGTATTCAACACTAATCATAGCAGTCTATACTGGATGAATGTCAATGAGAGATTTGAGTGTTACGATCGGGCATATTTGCCTAAGATCAAGATAGAGCGATTGCTTTTGTTGCTTTTATGTATACTCGATGTGTGAATAGAATGAAATTGTGAGAAAAATACTAGTTGATAGTGCACATTACAAGCTGAAATATACCTAAGTTAGTTAGAGTCTGCAACAAAAGAATATGAGAATACGGTATTATGTTTTTTTCGTAGATTTAGTTCTCGTTCTATGTAATTTAGTAGACTATGCGCGTAGTGATACACCAAAATTTGTATCACATTATGGGCTTACAATGCATTCTTCTGTTCGACTTCATGATCAACTCTATGAAATAGTTGTTTCATCAGAACAAGTGCCTGGTGAACAAAAGATTCGCATATTGTTTCCTCATGGATATGATGTTATCGGTAATAATCATCGTTATCCTGTTCTTTACTTATTGCATGGTTCATTTGGTGGTGCTGCAGATTGGACGACGCTCGGTGAAGCTCAAGCAATCTGTAGTAATACATCGTTAATTATTGTTATGCCGAATGGTGACCCTTTTGGATTCTATACTAATTGGGTGATACTTGGTAATGATGGTCCACAAAATTGGCGTACTTACCATATGGAACAACTAGTACCTTGGATCGATTATAATTTGCGCACGGTAGCGAAAAAAGAAGGTCGTGCTATAGCTGGCCTTTCAATGGGTGGATTTGGTGCCATTCGTTATGCAGAACAATACTCTGATAATTTTATTTATGTAGCAGGGTTTTCTGGTGTAGCTGATTTACTTGATAAGCGTGTTCAACAAGCCATTCTTGGTTTGACAACTATTGATCATGGAAAACCACTTTTGGGCCCATTTGGCTATCCTTCTGAACCTTTGAATTCAAGTGAATGGTTTGCTCAGGATCCAATTACTCATGCTGAATCATTACGTGGTGTAGCTATAGCTCTCTACACTGGCAATGCTGATGATTTGGAAAAGATACTGTGCGATACAAATTATCGTTTGCGAGATATGTTAATTTCGTTGAATATTCCTCTTTATTTTAATGATTATGGAAATGGACAATCGATCGGATATGGTTGTAATGGTGGACATAATTGGCCATGTTGGAATGCTGCACTTATTGATGTATTACCTCGTATGGTGATGATTTTACAAAAAGACTGCTAAAAGAATATTTATATTAAATTTAATGATGAATAAATTATTCAAAAATATAAATAATTGTCATACCGGGTGTGCTAAAACGATTGCGACACTTTGTGTTTTCTATGTGCCTTTCTTTAGGAGCATGAAGAAACTTTGATATTTTTTTCAAAAGATGTGTCCCCGAATTCTATACAAACGCCTATATGCATTAATTTACAACACGAGAACTCAATATTATTTATATATCGCATTGGGTGAATATGTAAAAAGAGTCTTTTCCCTACATAATGCTTTGTTTTTCTAGCGATTAGAGACCTGCAAAATGGTCACGGTCATGCGTGACCATGACGGAGTAGCTTTGGTCGTGGCCACGCATATTTCTAAGACTTAATCAGTTTATAATTGAATTGTGAAATTAAAAGAAATATCTGTGTGTTGATTATGTTTTATATTTAATATTAAATCTGGATTAAAGTCAACAACATAAATAATTCGAGAAAACCAATATAAGAATGATTGATAGAAATTACAGCACTACTTCTGAATTTTTTCCGCCTTCATCATTATCAGTTAAGGTCCCTTCCCCAGTGCACCATCGATCCCAGCCTAGGTATGTTGAAATGGGATGAAATTTGTAGTATATGTTGGGGCTGAAGTGAGAAGGCTGTGGTTAAATTTTCAGCTCGACATCCTGACGTTGATGAACTAATTAACAGTCAAAAGTAGTTCATTTTGCGACTAAGATTTCTCGGTCTAGGCTCTGTCAATATATTTAATTTTTTTTGTTTGAAAGGGCATCGCAGGATGCAGGCCACCAGAGAGTCCTCTGTTTTAAATTCTTATGTTCTTAGCGGAAGAAGGGAATTACGAGTTCATTGACTGAAAAAACGCGTCAAAAATGGGTGTGTATGTCTGTATACATCATAAAAAACAAAGCTTAATTAAAAGAGGGCTCTATGGTATCATGCATCTCGACGTGCTCTTTCAAACAAAAAAAATTAAATATATTGGCAGGGTCTGGACCGAGAATTCCTTGTCAGAAGATCGAAAAATCATAAACCGAGAAAAAACGAAAAAGATGTTTTGTTTTTTTGGAAAAAGCTAACTTTTTGGAAAAGGGGTCTACAGAAATCTTGAAAAGTTTTCGGAAAAAAAGAGGTGATGAGTACAAATTTTTATTGTTTATGAAGGATCTGAAGACAGACTATCTTCCCATCCATTTATTTTTTATTTCAACATATTTGATGAAAGTTGATTGTTTTCGAGTAGCGGAGGCCTAACTATTCATATTCACCTTCTTCAGTAGCTTTATCTCTTTTTCAGAATGTCATTATAATCATTATGAGATTCTTCAAAAGCATCATGATTTTTTTCTTTTGGCATAATTGTTGTCATTAGAAATCTACACAATCGACACGGCCATAGATGGAACAGGTACCGACAGCTAGCTGATCCGAATTTTAGGCCGGCTAGTATACCGGTAATTGCCGATCTACGAGTATTTTTCCGGACTGCCGGTTTTTTACCAGCAGAGCAGCATTTATGGATATACCAGTCGCTCCGGTTCACACTGGTGCGTTCAAAAGGGTACCGGTACCGGTCGTCAAAAAACTAGATTGGTTTCATCTTAATAGGCATGTAGGAAACTTTTCATTCTCTATGTCTATCTAAAATTATGATCTGTCTTACTTAATACAATGAAAACGGCTCTTTTGAGACTATTCAAATTCGTCTTACAGCTGAATTGTATTTACACGCGTTATTTCGGCTCTACATAGAAAGAGAATTCAATTTTCTACCAAGCACTATAAAGATGAACTCGTTTGCGTTATTCGTGACATTTCTAGAATGCTTTCTTTGGAAAGGGATAGTCAATCATGAAAATCTATCTGATTTCAAAACAAAGCAATGCACCTTAGCAAAAGAATAAGTAATTAAAAACACCGTACTGTATGTCTTCCAATCGATAGAAGATTTCAAGAGATTTTAACAGTTAATTATGTTTTAATAAGAAAATATTCGCTTCTTAGAAAAGCATAAATTAATGAAAAATACCTGAGATGTTAGGCTTAATTCACCCAGTCTCAAAATATGATCTATAACTATGTTGAGTTCTAGTGTTACAAATTAACTCAAACAGACATTTGTAGAGAATTCGATGACGCAACTTTTGAAAAAAAACTCAAAGTTTTCTCAGGCTCATGAACAGGCATATCTGTAAAACAAAGTGTTGCAACAATTACGACACATGGTAGATTAACAAATCGTTCTCTGTTTCATTTGATCTGTTGTTTTCTAAATTGTAGTGCATCTAAATTATTATGAAACATTTTCTTTTTGTATAAAAGTACTTTTAATTATACATTGTCTTTAAGAAGGCATCATTAAAAACAGGTCGAACAAATTGTAGCAGATATCAATATCTATGCTTATTGCCTTGAATCAAGCAAGAAATAATTAAATTGACTAAATGATAAAATTGTTATTGTTCATTACGACCAAACATTGCATAAAGTATTATTCGCATTAAAATCGACATATAAGACTTGTAGAGACTTTGTAATACTGCCTGGAATAATTATTTGCTGGGATGGGTGTGGATGTGCATTTGGAAAAGCTAGAGATTCATACCCACACCGCACCCACATTCACACTCAACCCACACCCGCACCCACCCAACAACGACAACAATTAAAACAAGGTCGGTCATTTTGTATTCATTTCCAGAGATGCTTGACATGTAAACTTTATTGACGAAATACTTAACTCAAATTATCATACTACTCTGTAGTGAATGTAGTCGAAGATATAGGAATGAAATGAAGTTAAACTTTATTATCATTACAATATAAATCTATGCAACCAGTTGTTGCTCATTACGAAATCTTGGTGTTTCTCTATTACAATTAGGTGTGAATCTTAATTGGATTCATTTAAGCATCGTGCATTTGTGGTTTCACTTGATGTGATCTACGAAATTGGAAAAGCCATTTCAGTTTGTTGTCAATTGAGGCAATGAGAAAAATATGATGATAGGCAAAGTAATGGCAATTCCATATGTCCAGCAACCGAAAAAGTACACCGAGAACTCTAATGAATATGGCATGGATAATCGAAAAGCCTGCACAATAAAATACAGTGAAAACGGTGTACTAAAGGTCATATATACGGCAGAAATACTAAGTCGTTGTATGATCATCTTTCTATACTTCCGCCATTCAATTGATTGCTTTAGTCGGCGTCCAGTTACAATCACTCGTACGATCAGTCCAAAATTGAAAATAATAATCAAAATTGTTGGAATGACTTGATGTAAAATCTGCTCAATGAAAGAGAAATTAGGGTCGCATGAATTACTGTAACAAACGAAGCCACAATAAAAGATTGAATAATCAAATGTGTTCACACAAGGATATAGAAAGCCAACAGCAACATAGTACGACATTACATATAAACAGATGAGAACCGTTCGTAGATAATGAAATAAAATTCGATCTTGTTTTGTATTGAACAAATTCCCATGAAAAATGAGTAAATGCTTTTCAAACGTTGCCCAAGCCATCAGAACCAGACTTGAAAAGTACGTAGCTGAGTCGACGTATATCCAAATCATACAGATCGCATCGGTCGATGGACGAACAACGCCTTTATGTGAATATTGAAGAAGTAGCGAATAGTTAACAGTCAATTGAATGAAATTCACTATGAGTATTATAAAAGTGATATGAAAATGAAGTGTTTTCTTTAACTCTTTTGGCGAAGAAAGAAAATAGTAGACAACAATGACGTAAGCAAGTAAAGATAGAATTTGGCATGTTTGTAAAACTATATAAGTAATTTCATGTATGTATTCTTGGATGTTAAACGTCTCTGGTACTGACACAATGCTTGTTGTGTTGAGACTTGCATCACTGCCATTTTTTACCATTATTCGACTTGAAGAAAAGATTATCTTATTCTCACTGCACATTACTCAAGGAAGAACTTGATGTTCATCACTTCTTTTCCTTTTTTAATGAATTATATTTAATATACCCACAGCACAAAAAAAACATAAATGCAAGAGACACTTTTTTATCTGAGAAAAAGCAGCAATTTTGTTCATAGATGAACTTGTTTTCATATGAGAAAGTTATTTACATGACATGACGAAATTGAAGTTGAAATCTATTTTACAATGAATAATTGAAATACCAATCATGTTTTTTTAGTGTCTCTTCATAATGAATTCAGACGTTTTTGCAGTCTTCTATGTGAATCGTTTGTGTAAAATTGACAATAGTTATTGTAACATCTAACTGTAAAACGAATTTGCTTTATTCACAAAAGATAAAAGTAGGAAAACATATAATTATTAATTTCATTCTATTTATTTATTCCAAAATTAATGTAAATTCAAAGACAGATTAGCTTTTCTCCAAGCAAACTAAAACGTCTTATATACCAAAAGATTATATATTCTTTTTCTCTATAGTTCGCATATTGAATTTAGGTTTCTATCGATCTCTGTGATCGACGAATTCTGAAATTCTATTTGTTTCAAACAGGCATAGTGTAAAATAGATTCTAACTATCGACCTACAGAAATGTTTTTCATTTGCAAACATTGCTTTATGTTGCAGTATTCAAGAATGGATGGATAGTGGAATAATCTGAACTGAACGAAGACTTCAAACTTGAGATTCAAAAATTGAAATTGATATGAGATAAAAAGAAACTAATAATGCGTCATGTGTAAAACATATCTGTTTTGTCGTTATCATTATTTCTGCATATGAGGGTGTGGGTGGGTGAGGGTGTAGAGACAAATAATATTCACACCCACTTCCACCTAGACGTACAGCTACACCCATCCACACCCACACTCGGATATGGTAACAGAATTTTAGCAGTACAGTATACAATCTCAACAAGATCTGGATCCGCTCCTTACTCAATCGCAGCAGCCGACTTTGATAAGGATAATCCACTAGATATTGCTGTGGTCAACATTCTGAGTGCCAACATAGGGATATTTCTGGGATATGGGAATGGAACATTTGCACCACAGATGACATTTTTCACTAAATCTGGTTCTAATCCTCGTTCGATTGCTATAGGTGATTTGAATGGAGACGGTCTGCTCGATATCGTTGTTGCTAATACTGGTACGGCGAATATAGACCTACTGCTCGGATATGGCAATGGGTCATTTGCAAATCAGATGTCACTTTCTACAGGAAAAAATATAGCCCTTTCTCAGTCGTTACAGCTAATTTTAACAATGATCATGTACTTGATATTGCCGTTGCTAATGCTCAAACTAATAACATAGGTATATTTCTTGGATATGGAGATGGAAATTTCACAGCGCAAGCAACAATTTCAACTGACGGTCTTTTATCACCTTATTCTATTACTACAGGTGACTTTAATAATGATACGTTGCTCGATAGTGCTGTCGCTAATTATCTAGGGTAACAATTTCTGCATACTACCTGGATATGACAATGGAAGTTTTGTACTGCAAACACCTTATTCAACCGGATATGGTTCTCTTCCAATGATCCTTACTACCAATGACTTCAACAACAATACTAAATTAGATACCGCAATTGCTTATTTTGGTATTAATAATATTGGTATATTCTTTGAATATGGTGATGGACATGTTACTGATCGAATATTATTATTTACTGCAAGTGGTTCTCTATTGGATGCAATTGCTATAGGGGATTTTAATAATGATCACCCACTAGACATTGTGACTACAAATTACTATGAGGAAAACATCATAGTACTTATTTCAGATCATAACCAACCTTTTCTAACCATGAAGACGTACTCGACTGGCACTACTTCTCGTTCAAAATCTATGAACATTGCGGACTTCAACAATGATTACTAGCTGGATATTGTTGTTGCCAACTATGGTAACGATAATGTTAGGGTATCACTTAATTATGGTAACGGTACATTGATGGAACAAGTCATATATACAACTGGAAATGACTCTAAGCCATGCTCAGTTAGTTTTGGTGATTTCAATAATGATAACTTCCTACATATTATTACTGCCAATGCTGGTATGAATAATATAGGTATATTATTTGGGAAGGAGAATGGCACGTTCTCTCCAAGAATATATTATACATTTTCAGATGCTCTGGATCCATCCTCCATAGCTGTTGCTGATTTCAATAACGATAAATATCTTGATATTACTGTCGTCAACTCTGCCTCTTAAAATATGCTTGTACTTTTTGGCCATGACAACGGAACATTTGGAAATATAACGTCTTATTTATTAGGTTATGGCTCTATCGTATATTCACTGACTTTGGAGATTTTAACGCTGACAATGGGATTGATATTGCAATAGCGAATTACGACACTAGTACTGTAGATATTTTTTTACAACAGTGTGGCAGTACTTAACTTACTCTCATTTTTCTTGTTCTTTCTGTGTACGTTTCTTGAAGTAACGGTCACGCATTGGTATGGATGTGGGTATGAAAAGAGCAGAGGAAAATCAACACCCATACCCACGCCCCAAGAATAGAAAACATCCAGTATTCATGTATTTATAATGGGAAATCTTGAAAATAAAAGTAGTATTATTAATTCAAAGAACTAATTTGCGAAAATTTCAAAATGAAAATGCAATAAACAATGTTGAAAATAATGAAAAAATCTATTTCAATTCGGAATAAAATTCTAAAATTAAAATTCATAGAAGAAAACTTGTTCGATAAAACCTTTTCAATCATCAAAATATCAAATACTTCTAAATACACATCACATCACTCAATTACTAAAGAGAATCTATCATACAATATTATTTCAAGAAACATTTCGTGTGTTTTGTAAATCTGTCAACCAAATAGCATGGTTTTCGCTTCCAGTAAATATTGACTATGTGACTTCATTTTAAATGTCAAGTAAAAACATTGTCCATATCTCGACATTGTAACTGTACCATCAAAATCTAGATGAAAATCGGCATCGATGATAAAAAATCTCTAGTGACGTGTATGAAATCGTCTACGTTGAGTAGACGGAAATGGTCGTACATGAATCTAGTCATGGAAGTTAGGACTAGAAGGTCCCATACAAAAGAATTTTGAAAAAGACAAAAATAATGATTATGTTCTATTCCACACATCTTTATATCAATATTTGAACTTTACAAATGTTTATTTGTCGACATTTATGCTTTGTTGACATTTTTATTATTGCCATTTTCACACTTCATGTTTATTCTCGATTGCCATTCGGTTTACCACTAACATTATTATGATGAGGAGCGAAATCCACGGTAGTCAATCTAAGATTCTTACTGTGGAGAATCTAAACCCACGTGTTATTGCTGTTAAATATGCTATTCGAGGTCCCATTGCAATACGAGCGGCTGAAATCGATCAGCAACTCAAAAAGGTAGTGTATCAACCGAAACTGAAATCGTCGATAATTTCATCGATCTATTCTAGGGTGATCATAACTTTCTATTTGATCACTTAATTCGTGCCAACGCTGGTGACTGTCATGCGAGTGGTAATCAAGTACCTATTACGTACATTCGACAAGTTCGTACTGTCTTTTTCTTCAACTTTTAAAAGAATTCTGAGTTTTAAGTTCATTGCTGGCTGTTCGTACCCTCCAGTTATGAAAACGCCTGACTTTCCTTTAGACATCAAATGTAAAGTTGAACGTTTATTGAGCGTCTGTGGTGGTGGAAGTCTCGGTTCGTACACGGAAGCTCCGGGAATATTCGCCATTAGACAAGATGTAGCCGATTATATTCATCGTCGAGATGGTCATCCATCCAATCCGGAAGATATCTATCTATGCGATGGAGTAACAAACGGAATTCGAACAGTCCTGAAACTTATGATGAATAACGATATGAAGAAACCATCAGGAGTGGTGAGTGATAATTTCGAAGTATTTTTAAAGCTTTAAAAACTGAAAATTTGAAAATTTCATATGAATAATAACTCGACTATGTTCTATTGATTATTCTGTAGATGACTCCTGTTCCACAATTTCCGTTGTACAGTGCTACGCTCTCCGAATATGGCGCTTATGAAATCGAATACTATCTCGATGAAGATAACAATTGGGCATTGAATACGGAAGAATTGGAAAGAGCATTGAATAAGGAGAAAGACAATTGTATACCACGTTGTATTGTTGTTATCAATCCTGGAAATCCCACAGGTAAGAAGAGATTTTCAATTAAAAAAATAAATTGTTTGTTGTGTGTAGGTCAAGTTCTTGCTAGAGAAAATATTGAAGATGTGATTCGTTTTGGTAAGAGATCGATTTCTTTTTTCTCTTGGTTAGCTTTTAATCATTATTGAGTACCGTTTTAGCCTATAAACACAAACTATTCATTTTGGCCGATGAAGTCTATCAAGATAATGTTTATCTCAGTAGTTCGAAATTTTATTCATTCAAAAAGATACTAATGGATCTTGGTTCGCCCTACAATGAAATGGAAATGGGTGAGTACTGTCACTCACTAACTCATTCGTGTTTTGACTATTGATTTTCTAGTATCGTTTCACTCAGCATCCAAAGGCTGGTATGGAGAGTAAGTTCATGACTATCTCGGTGATTTGTGATTCTGCACAAAGACGAATATTTTTAAGAACACGTGATATTTCTTTTTCTTGTCTGAAAATAGATGTGGATCGCGTGGTGGTTACTATGAATTGATCAATGTCGATAAGGATGTGCGTATGCAATTGAACAAGCTCATATCTCCTGTATGTTCAACGTCATGGGGTCAAGCGATAATGGATGCCATTGTCAATCCACCAGAAGAAGGCAAACCATCATATAAACTCTACGAACAAGAGCGCACCGATGTTTTAAATCAACTTAGAGAAAAAGCTAGTCTGGTCAATGATCTATTCAATTCCATCGATGGTGTTCACTGCAATACTATTATGGGGTCAGACACAATGATATGAATTTTCTTTAAGAAGGTCGCTATTGATTTTGTTTAGAGCAATGTATGCATTTCCGCGAATCGATCTACCGAAGAAACTGATTGAGTACTGTGTATCAAAAAATATGGCACCCGATGAATTCTATTGTTTTGAACTACTCAATCGAACGGGTATATGTGTAGTGCCCGGTAGTGGATTTAAACAACGACCAGGCACATACCATTTTCGTACGACCATTTTGCCACCGATCAATCAAATAAAACAGCTTGTCGACAAGTTTCGCATATTTCACACGTCGTTTTTGTACGAATGGAAATAGTTATTTGATGGGTTTCTACCTATGGAGTGCTCTGCACAGGCAATCATCAAATAATGATCCACGCTTTCATTATAAACTATTTGAAAGAATGATGTGCGACAATAATTTTTCTTGTATGCATGCTAGTCTATTGTGATTCTTTTCTTGTTTCTTTAAATCGAATAATTTAACACACTAGTACACTTGGTCGTTCACAGCCATTTGAGATAACTAATTTTGTACCATAAGATACGAGTATTAGTAAAATGCGCTCTCAACCACTTTGAGTGTTAGTAAATTCGAAGACGATATCAATTGATAGAGTATAACAATTTATATTCGTAAAAATATTGTGCATGGAAAGAGTCTATTCGAAAAGAAGAAAAAATAACTTCAACTGTTAAAACTAACAGTTTAGTAGGCTATCTGGATGCTAAGTTCATCACGTCTATAATCACTTCTTATTTCTATGATATCTTTAAAAAGACGCACGTAAAAAATATCTAACAACTTTCAAATTATCTGAAAATTAAATGAATCAATATATAGTATATAGTATTGAATAATAATACATGTTGTTATTTTATTTTAGTATGGAAATTTTCGACCTTTTAACGATAGTTTTCAACCAAATAACAAGACAATAATACGTGATGTTACAACAAATGAAAACAAGGGTGGGTGTGGGTGTGGGTGTAGTGTGGGTGTGGGAGGGTGTGGGTGTGGGTGGGTGTGGGTGTGGGTGGGTGTGGGTTGTGATTGAAGAAAACCGTTACACCCACACCCACCCACGCCCCATACCCACACCCACCCTATTTATTAGCATTTTGGACCCTACCCATCCGTCAGTAAATTGATCATAACTCTTCCTAAACCTTTCAGAAAACAGACTTATTATATACCATTGGATGCGCCTTGAAATTCTCTACAAGATGGAGTATTTGGTTTTTCAATTCTGAATAGGTCATCTTATCCGACAGGGTCCTTTTTGATTAATATTAATTGGACATTTAAATAAAAAAAATTGAATATGTAATGAACGTCCTTATGTAATTTTTCTATTTTGCTTTCGTATTTTATTTCATGTTGAAGAAAAGCGTAGAAATAATAAACTGTTGTTTTCTGACACTGATGTTTATGTATGATATCATTTACACTATAACTACTAGGAACTCAACCATATCACCGTTCGTACATGAGACTTGATGCTATGCTTATGATCATTTGTATCTTCGATATTATTATTCCTACATCGCTATAGTCATTTGAACCGTCACTATAATCATCTGTACCATGACTGTGATCATTAGTACTATGACTGTGTTCGTTATACCATGCTCATGATCATTTGTACTACGTGTTACAGACAGACTGATATAGGTGGATTTCCATTTCTAGACCCTATCCGTTCAGTCTAGGAAAAAAATAAAAAATACGTCATTGTATACTATCTATATTTCATATTGGTATAATGAAGCTGAAGAATATACGTGAGTTCCACATTTCAGGCTCTTTGGGGCTGTCATAACAAGCTTTTTGTAATTTTACCAAGTTCTTTTTATTGTTGTAAACTTTTAATAACTTAGATGTCCTTCGCTTGTTATATAAATATTTCTTGAGATTTGCAACAAAATAGATACATTGATTTCACATCTTTGGTGAATGTGAAAGCTCTAAAAGTGTGCCAGCTTATTCAGTTCAGTTTGCATTAGAATTTTTGACAAGCGACAAACAAATCATTTTGAAGAAATGCACTAATTGTTCTAAGTTTTTCGAAAGCGTCAAATAAATGTTTATAAAGTAAGAGAAAGAGACCTAGATAATTAAAACTCTACAACAAGAAAAAAAAACTTGATAAAATTACAGAAAAAATTCTATATATTGTTTTTTACAACTAAGAAAAATGACCTTTGTGTATTGAAACGAAAAGTACTACTTTTCAGAAGTATTTAGAAACTTTATATTTATAAAATAAAACTTGGAAGTGTCCTCTATCAATAGTACAAAATCTAGTTCATTCGATTAAATTCTAATGAAGATATGCAATTTTCTTTTTTGTAGGTGATTTTAGAGACATGCTGTATATATCATCAAATATCAATAGATTCTAGTTCGAAATATACTTCAATGAGAGAGAGTTTTATCTAAATCAATGAAATATTTCAATATTTGTAAGAATGAATGTATCATAAAGAAAATATTTGTAGCATTTTCGTAAATATTCCTATTCAATCAAGTATGATTTGTTGACAAAGTAATTGTCATCTAATTTATTTTAATTCTATTCAATATGAAACATGAAAAAAACAAAGTAAAGAACAAGAGATAAGCTAGTTTTCTATTCAAAAGATTTGTACGAGATAGTCCATGTTGATAATAATTAACAAAATAATGGCACTAAATGCAGTTCCATATGATTGATAAAAAAATCGGGTTGCCATTCGGCATAACGTCGTAACATGAAGAGATGTAATTTGAAAATGATTGTGAATCCGTAATATATTTGATAGTTATTACAAAAGTATTCGAAATCACCGTCAATACTATAGTTATAAAAAAGAACCATAGGAGTAAGTGGCATTAATGAAGCTTCCACCAACCAATAAAAAACAGTTGTGTTTGTTACAGTATGATGGATCTTCGACAATCCCAATCGTGTATACATTAAAGCGAAACATATATAAGTAAATGACAATATTACTTCGTGTTTCAATATAATAATTTGAACTGGATATCTTTTTGCTTCTTCTTCTTCAGATATATAGAAGAAATTATTTATAATAAATTTACGTAATAAATGATACCAACGAGGATAGAAAAACAAAAAAATCGCACAAATCAACATTATGAAAAAATACATATATATCAAAGCCATCTGACTAATTCCTATAATGATTACATGAGCATGAAGCCAAGCTTCCTTGTTGAAAAGGCATGTGTGATTATCTTTAATTGTTGATAATCTACTATTTAATAAAATGAATCTTTGATCGATCGAAGCCATCAACCACTTTATAGATAATTAATGGTATATTGTCCGAGGAATTAAAAATGAATTCTTTGTTTCAATTAATAACCTATTGCACTATTTTTTTTACTAATGACATCTATTTTTATTTTTTCTCCATGAATATATTCCGAAGATTTTCATATAATATAATCGAGAAACAATAAAGCAACATTATTGTAATTTTCTCATTACTAGCAACTTCTAGTTTCCTAATAATGTATCTTGAAAGAGGTCTGTTTACAGTGACACGAATATAATAATTAATGAATGAGTGATCAAACTAACGACATTGACTCCGTATTCATTTATAAATTAATACATCAATTAGAATCAAGGACATGCCTCAATCATATGTATATAACGTATAAAAACAACACACTGATACGAAACGACATGCTGCTATGTTTAGCTAAAAAACAGAGGAGTTGTTGAACGAATAAATAGAATAATGAATTTTCTTCTCTTATTAACAACATACAAGTGTTTTTATTTACTTTACTGTTGAACATTTCAACAAAACAAATATTAAGCCTGATGATATTAACGTATTATCGTGATGCATCTAATGTTTGAGGTTATAATGTCAATAAATATGTGCATATCTGAAGCTTGTCTACTAATAGATTTATATTTCTAGAATTTTATGTTACATATAGATATTATTCTCAAATAAACATATTATTAAGTACAATCTTATATGGAAATAATATTTTAAAACAATTTGTGCAGTGACGGAAAAAAAAATTTACTAACAGCGTATTTTTTATTTTTATTATTGTTTAATAGTGTTATGCACCTAGCTCAAATCCAGATTGTAATTTTAATAGCCAATGGAGTTTACTATATAATGCATTCTATAGCAAGTTTTTATAGATGAACTATGATAGCAATGTTTCTAAAAAACCGGACACGGGGCTATTTTCAGACCGTAGAAGACTTTATCGAAGCTATTTTTTTTAACAATATGATTTTAAAGAGCATAAAATTCTAAACCAAATGAGAGATCGCTGTATTTTCCAGAACCTTCCCTTAAAAAGTTAAAAGTATAAAAAACCGAAAAAAAGGGATGCTTCAGTTGATTTTTTTCGATAAATTTCATTTTTTTTACGCTTTTTATGGTGATTTTAACTTTTCTAAGAGAAAGTTTTAGAAAATACACCACTGCTCCTTGTTTTGTTCAGAATTTTGTACTCTTTAAAATGATATCACTAAAAAATAGTTTCAATAAGGTCTTCTGCGACCTGAAACTTACCATGTTCGGTTATTAAAAAACTTTGTCATCCTAGATTACCTACGAAATCTTGCTATAAAATTTTAATTATCTTTTTTCTTTTTTAGTTGTTATCAATCAATGATGATAGTTCATAGGCAAAAAAAAAATAGTTTTTAGTTTCATGAAGATACTTTACACTTGATGTACGTATTATTTCAAAACATACTTAACGTTGGTAAATATATTAGAAAAAAAAACACGATTAATTATTTGGCTTTTTCTTTTTTACAAATATTTTTCTTTAGGTCAATGTGTTTTTTTTTACAACTTACAATTGATGAACATACGCTAAATAGAGTAAGAAAGATATTCTTATTTTGTTATGGTTTTGTTTAAAATGTTGCTGAAACATTAATTTCATTACGTCATCGTCGACGAGCATCACTTGCTGAAATTCTATAAATTGTTGGTCTTCGTCTTGATCTTAATGATTATGCTGGCTACAATTTACCAAAAGAAAGTTCGTTAATTAAATGAAAGAAGAAAAAAAGCATGTGGGCGTATCTATTCTTTTTCTTTTTTTGATAGTTCTATAAGTAACATATCTCATGCTTCGTCAAAGACAACCAAAACGTATGTCAAATATGTTAAATGCTATAAAAGAAGATAGTGGAGTGCAGAGAACTATTTTGTTGAATTGATTAGAATTCGAAAAGTAATAAATAAATGATTGAGACTTTATACTAGTCTTTAATGAAGGTTATTTTCTATTCTATTGAAAAACGAATGATAATAAAAAAGAAAATGATTGTCTAAAAAATAGCACTAGTATTTTAATCAAGCTAACTTCTTGAATTATTAGCTTTGCTAGATATTAATAAAGAATTCGATTCACTTTAATATGCTGATTGTAAATATACTATTTTGGCTGATTAAATAATTTTTCAAGGTCATAAAAACCTAGGCTTTTTTTTTGAAACCCACTGTGCAGTTCAAGAATGTTTGTGCTAACAGGAATCAGAGACAGTAGATAGAATCGTGTCTTCTTGATTGCGGACGTTTTTTCTTAATTGGAGGAAAAAAATGTCCGCAAAGCAGAATCGGGGGGAGAGAGACAAAAATGACCGCAAAGTGGAAAATGTCCGCAAAATAGAATCGGAGAGAGAAACAAAAATGTCCCCCTTATGGAAACAAACGAATATAGATATAGTAATATAATCCGTGCAGATAGCTCGATTTTAGAATATCACTGCTTCGGGCTAGCTTAGTGTCAGACGTCACATGTCGTCCAGGTCATTTTGTGAGCATGTATTGTGAACGAAAGTATATAAAGTGACGTAAATAAAACTAGATGAATTAAATAAAAATGTTTATCGTGAAAGACTAGCTTTTCTACAATTATCACACAATGTGGCAAGGNACAAGCTCTATCGAACCATGTAAAAATATCCAAGAAAAACAGTTTATTCCGTTTTTGAATTACTGACACTTTACTTTTTCACCCCCAAAAAAGTATAAAATTTCTGAAAATTTGTTAAGGTCGACATTAAAAGGTTTTCATAACTCTCATCATTTAGTACCAATAAATCCCATTTTTCACGGGCTTTCATTTGGTATAAAATTCATCATATCTTCTATTTGAAATTATAGCGGTACCCCCTTTAATAATATTATTTCCAACCCTGTATACTTTAATGCACGTGTTCCAATATATTTTAAGGAAATAGGAGTTTTCCTTTATTAATTTTGATCGGGCATAATCGAAATAAATGAATCTGAATCTCTTTGATTTTTTTCTGTGGGAAGTGGCTTCTTACTAACATATTAATTTTCATTCATCGGAAGAAAACATGGAAATAAGATAAGTTTGATGCTTTGTGTGAGTGAAGTTAAGGGCATCACTAACACCCATCCATATAGTTCATTTTTCATTCTTATGGAAACACAAAATCGAGAAGTAACTACAATATTTGCTGTCGAATCATGTCATAGTAGCATGAAATATAAATATTCGCTAAGCCCAAGTTAAGAACATCCCATCTCCGGCATCATATAGATTAAGTGTGCCTATATACGGCCAAAATGCTTGTGAGTCAAGTTGCTCATATACTTTTTCAAGTTCTTTTTCATAGCTTTGTCGAGATTCACGATCGCCTGTGAAAAAAGAGTTTGCAACTGCCTTCTCGGCGTATTCGAATGCTTCTTGTATTCGACCTAATTTATGAAACGTATGGCCTATGATATAATATGTGGCACTGATATCATTATGTCGCTTTGGATGAATTTTGAGTCGAATATTGAGTGCTCGATTAAAGTAAATTAGTGATTCTTCGTACTTCTGCTGAAAGTAAAATATAAGAGCAATATTGTAGTTTCTTTCGGCGATACTTTCTTGAATAGATTCAGTGGTGGTGCTAACTTCTATTTCTAGAGAACGCTGAAGATAATCCAGAGCAGTGTTAAAGTTCTCCTTCAGGTGGTATATATTACCAAGATAAAAAAATGATTCACTGAGTAATTGTTTGTTTTCAGGTTCATTTTCTCGTTTGATATCAAATGCTTGTTGATAACTTTCAAGTGCTCTGTCGTATTGATCCATATTCTTATAGAAATCGCCCAATATATCGAGTATCTTTGCTCGTTCTCTCCAGTCAGTTTCGTTCTCTAGTGCCTTTATATAAAATCGTTCTCCATTTGTTTCATGTATACGATTAGTTAAATTTCCTAATGTGACTAAAGGATTGTCAGAATTTTGAATTTGCACTCTTACAAAGTCGGAAAATTCCAGCATTTGAGGATCTTGATCTACAGTCAATTTAAGCACTGCTTCCCATAGGTCATCTTCTTTTTGGTCAACAGAAACAATTCGAAATACGCTGCCCATGGAAAACAGATATTCACATTCTGCTCCTCCATATTGGCTAAGACAATCAATATTACCGACAGGAACTTTTGAGCGAATCGCAGGATCCATTAGAATGATCATAAGAACAGTCGTTCTCTCTTCATCTCCACCAGCATATATACGAGCTACATTTTCGCTTTCACTTGTCGATAGAAAATTAGAAATAGAGAGTAATCCACCAACGTTGGATTTCAACTGTGCGAATACATCATTTGGCATGCCTAAACCACGGAAAAGCACATGAGGAGTTCTGTATTCATTTTTCAATGCAAGATCAAGGAGTTGTTCATGAAGATGTCGAATAAAAACACGAAATGCATAAATCGTATCTATATCCATGGTCCGTAGTGCTTTATTGAGCATTCTATATAGAAATGTGTCACGACTATACCACCATACTGCATTTTCTGCAGTGTAAGTTCGTTCAAAATCATCAATATTTTGTAGTTCGTTTGAATTATCTTCGTACGGTATACGACAATAGTCAGCCAGCTCTTTTATATCGATATCTGTCATTTTGAGGAGGATTTCTTTCAGTAATTGACTGTACATGAAGTTTGCGTCTTGTTTATTTCTTTCCTGTGAGAAAGGAATAAATTGATCATCGTCTTGAGTAAATGTAAATCTGATCATATCATTTTGTACTTGAAAAATGTTTTTTCTCAGTTGATCAAGGATAGATTTCACATCTGTGAAGACTCCTTTGATTTTATGAAAGTTCCTTGTCCAATTTTTTTCCTTATTCGTACCTTCACCGAAAATCAAGATCGAGGCGATGACGGCAGAAAATGAACGGAGTGTTGGCAATATTTTTTCGATCAATACGTCCGAAACAACAAGAAATATCTTTTCATTTGTTATTGTTGTAATAAATTGCAAACAAGCGTCAATATTGGAATATGTGTGAAAACTATTGACAATATTTCGCAATTCTTTCGTTATTGTATCATCAATAGCAATACCAATAGCGACGAAAACAAAGTTTTCCACATTACGTCGAGTTCGCTGTCCATCACAGACGGATGAAGCAGTCCAAATAGGATCACCATCAGTATGGTTCGATTGCATCAGTATTTTCTCATTCATTTAAGACGAATTGAAACTAAAAAGAGACGACATGAAAAACAACGTACACACGACTTTCTTTTTCAAGGAAGAGGTTTGAGTAGAAAGAAGAGAGAAAGAAAAAACATGAGGCGGCAATCTTTTTTATTCTTTCTTATAAACCAATCAACTTGTAAAGGGCACAAAGTTGTAATTTGTTTGCCTACTATGAAAGAATAATATAAAAATAAATAATGCGCAAGAGTATAGCGTACATAAAAATAGATTCTTGCGAGAACAAGTCTTTCTCTTCCTTTTTTCGTTAGACTTATAGAGTTCTTTGTGGTATTTCATTTTTTACATTTCAAAAAACTATGATTATCGGATAGAAAACTCTTTCAGCATCGCATTTTTCAGAATGTGCTTAGGTCATTCCAAAAGTATTGGCACTGACAGTTTTTAGCATTCAGTCAATTAAAGGGAATTTTCCTTTTATATGTAGTAGTACTAAAAATAATGCTCCATACTTCTATGATATTGATTCACTTTCGAACTGATGTAATGATAAGAAAATTTTGGTAAAAAGTATTTGTTATGATATGGGAAGATGACATAATATCATATTTCTCTTTGTTGCACATTCACTTTTTCATGTTTTTTTTCTGTTCTCTGCTTCCGTTTCTTTCTTTATTTTTTTCTGGCCGTCTTTGATACCTAATCGTCTACTAGTATACATACAGGAAGACACATGTCTTGTTTGTCTAGTATGTATGTGAAATTCGCTCATGTTTTTTTAAAGAAAGTGAAAAAGTTGAAGTTAGAATCGGTCTCACATCATTCATGCCTATTTATCACTATGTGATTATTGGTTATTTCACTAAATCAAGCGAAACCTGGATGATCAAGATGATTCCAAATCATTACACTCTACTCCTACCAAATTCATGAATTCTTTGAACACAAAAAAAAATACAAGAAGACTTTTGATCAGTGAATGCAATGAATGCAATTGTGAGGAGATAATGAAGGCGAATGTTTCGAATATTGATTGAAATAAAAAATTCTTGAGCTTATTTTGTATTTCTTTTTTCTTCCGAAGCTATTAATCTCACTTACTCTACTATGAGTAGACGATTAAGTATTAAAGACGACGAGAAAAAAAAATAAAGAAAGAAACAGGAACAGAGAACAGAAAAAAAAGCATGAAAAAGTGAATGTGCATCAAAGAGAAATATGATATAATGTCATTTCCACGTATCATAACAAATACTTTTTATCAAAATTTTCTTATCATTCCATCAGTTCGAGAGAGAATCAATAGCATAGAAGTATGGAGCATTATTTTTAGTACTACTAAGGTGGGAATAATCCAAAATTAAAGCAAAATTTTTATTTCTTTCTTTTATGCACCATTAGATAGAGCTCGTCGAGCTGAGTAAGAATATATGTCTTTGAATTTTTTCTCGAAATGATTATGTGAAAAAATTCGCAATTTTTTCAATTCAGTTGAAAAATCCCATTTTTCTTAAAAATATGGATATCTTCAATGTTTTTTGAAATTTTAGTAGAAATTTCGGTCTGTTGGAATTTTTAAAATGGTATATTCGGATTCCTTGTGAAAAGCTGCGTCTACTGAACCTATTTTTGATATCACTTTGCGAAAATTTATCTATGAAATTTCTTAAAGAATATCGACCAAAATATCCAAAAAATTACATCTTGTCAACATTTTTGAAAGTCTATCTAGTTTTTTCTATTAAAAGATATAGCCCTGTTCTGTATGCCATTAGAACCACCAGACATTGCGCTTCAAAAGTATAACTTTTGTTTTTCGAAATACTGATATTTTCAAAATGAACACTGTTCAACTCTGGCTCAAGACCCCAAAAGCATGAGATTCTACTAGTAATTCGAGGTTTTCTATACCAAAACTCAGTCATTTTGAGAAATAAATAGTATATTCGGAATCAGCACAAAAAACTGCACCGATTAAGATATATTTTAGATTGTTTCCCTGAGTTTCATTTTTTCATGAAAATCTAGACCATCCTAGTAGGTCAAAATTTGTGGAAAAATCGAAATCTTCAGAGGAGTTGGCGCCTTTTCCATTGGCTATACTCCCCCGCGTATTTTTTTTTCTTTTAAATATTTTTTTGTTGGGACTGATATAGGGATATCAGATCACTATATCAAATCACTGACATTTCTAGTTTTGGTAAAAAAATCAATACTTTAGGACAAGGATATTTTCCCCTCCTATATTGACCCTTCCCATACATTATGATTCATATCTCCTCAATAGTTACATCAGTAATTACCAAAATTTTACTGTATATACAAGTAAAGATTCTCTACAAAATGAGATTAAAACCGCATTATCCGGTTACTTTGCTAGCCAACAATAACTAATATAAAAATACCCTCGTAAAATACTAATTTTTCAGTCAGTCACAAAGATTGTTTTGGTTATAACTTTACAACGACTAGGAATCGAACATTGAAACTTTCGCAAGTAACGCTGTTTTATACAATCTATCGAATAATAAAAAAAATTAAAATGAAAAAGATAATTTCTTACATAATGATTTAAACTTCAGGAAGACAATATGAAGAAAGTTATCACCTGTCAATGAAAGAGAAATCATCAAAAACAAATTTCTTTTTATGATTCTTTTTAGCGTATAAAGTTCTTCAGATTATTTAATGTATCACGCGATGAACGTTTTTCTTTCGTAGTAAGATAGTTCGTTATAATTTTCCTATAATTAAACATCACGCGGTGATTTTTCTCTCGACGGATTGTACTATAGAAATTGTCGACTGATCTCTCTCTTAATTGACATATATATACCTGGTTCGTTTTTATTCATTCCAATATTATCTACTTGTTGTTTATTGTTTAATTATATTTAAAATATGACTTTTGTTGAAATATTTCTTCCATCGG